ACAAGTTCCAAAGGATGGCTTTATAAATAAGATTGGATACTTTAGGGAAATAGAATTATGAAAAATATATTGTAGTAAGATTTATGAAGAGTAATTTTGGATTATTAGTTTTAAGATTTACAGCACAGTGTGGTAAAAATTAATAAGTCAAAAACCACTTATGCTATATTGTAATTAAGAAATAATTAGCTTCTAATTGTGGTAGTGTAAATTATAATATCTGTATTGTCTCACCCTTCACAAGAGACTAAAAATAGAATAGAAGTTTTAAAAACACCTCTCAGTTGCCCCATCCATCTCTAGGTCAGACAAAAGCATGATCTGACATTCAGCCAGCTGGGTTCCCTGTGCACCCTCTGCTCCTCAGCAAGGCCAGCTTGCTCTGTGCTGCATCAATGGCATCGGGGGAACTCATCTCAAAAATCCCACCTAAAAACCCCAGGAAACAGCCCAAAATCCCAAAGCATCCCTCAGCCTCTCTGATGAGGCATCCTGAGCAGTATCAGGCAAATGAGCACAGTTAGGAGGAGTGCTCCTAGCTTTTTTTGTGCTGTGCTTTTGAGTATTTGGCCAAACTGTGAGGGGATTTTGGTGTTTCCAGATGCCTTGGGAAGAGTTCCTGTCCCTTTCCTGCACCTTGCCTCCCTTTTCCAGTGCCTGTTTCATTCCATTTTTGTGTTACACTGAGGCTGTCAGCAGGGAGGGAAGGAGCAGGAGTGGAGCACCCACTGCAGACCACTGTGGTCTGGAGTGTAAAAATGCAGGGTTTCCCTTGGCAAGGGACTGGAATGGGAAAGCTTTATTTAGGGCTTCCTCTGTAAGGGATAAATGTGTTCAGCTGCATCTCATTCCCCTTAAAACCCCCATAAATACCTGGAGGGCTGAGATGCTGCGAGCTGTGCTGTATTTATTCATTCCTCTGCTGTCCTAACCCAGCTCTTTTCCCTCCAGAGGTGGGAGGGCAGGAGGTGAAATTGCCTCATTTGGGGGCATTACCCCAGTGATCACTTTTGTGNTAATACAGAAAATGGGGGGAGCAAACTAACAAACTTAAGAACACACCACAGCAGTTCCACCAGCTCCACTTGCAGCTGTTCAAAGGCTCGCTGAAGGTTGTGTCAGAGCTGAGCTAACCCCGTTTCCCCTGTGCAGGCACTGTCAGTGTTTGGAGCCTGCTGCTGGGCCAGGAGCCCATCCATCACTTCCAGCACAACCAGCACCTGCAGGCGCTGGCGCTGGCCCCGGGCGGCGCCGCCGTGGCCACGGCCTCCGGCTTCCAGGTCAGGCTGGAGAGCCCCGACGACAGAGGATTCTGGCAAACCCCAGGGACCTTTGAAATCCAGAAACTGGTGAGTCTCCAGGCTGCTCTGCTTCCTTACAGGAGCTCCTGATGCACTGATGGTTGTTGGTAGGGTTGGGATGGTTCTTAGAGAAGCCTTACAGCCTGAGCTCGATCGGGGCGGTACCAGCTCGAGGCTTTGGAGCAGGTTCAGGGTGAGTCTTCCATCCCTGAAGAGCAAGGGTGAACTGCTGGCTTGAGCTAGGAGTGAAAATGAACACAAGTCCATATGGTGCAGGAGGTTGGCTGGGTATTTTAGGTTTCTTTTAATTTTTTTTTTGTTTTTTTTTTTTGTCAACAGTAAACTAAGCTGGCTCATTTTGTAAATCAGTTTTCTCGCATAGAATTGGAGCTGAAACTTCAGGTCTCATTCCAGATCCACACTATCTGATTAATTCTGAGGCAGGATATTGCAGGCAGCCTAATAGTGTCACTTGTGAAGCTGTAACTACTCATGCAGCTTCTTTAGGTTGCACCTTCTGTCACTGAAGTTTTGAGAGTTGTAATTAAAACTCGTTTTCCTGAAGTTTTGTTTTGTCTCAGAGTATCAGCATTTGTTTGAAAGGGGAAGGAAGTGTGTAGGAATAATTGAGTCTTGCAGCCTCTCTCCTGTAGGAGGAAGCTGTGCAGTTAAAGGGTGTGAAGTGATTTAAACCACTCCTGATTAATCCCCCCTCCAAAGCTCAGTCAGTCTTACACTTCAGAAATAAGCTTGATGCTTGGTCTTTGTGTGGAATTAATCCATAACTGAGATGATTCATGAGTAGTTTGTTCAGTTCAGCACATGCAAAAGAAGTTTTGACTGTATTTGAATAAATTAAAATAAAAAAATAAAATAAAAAGTCTGCTCTTTTTAGGTCAACTTCCTTAATCTGGTTCCAGATGTGACGGGGAGCCCGGTGGCAGTGGCAGCTGCAGAGGACATTGTGTATCTGCTGAAGGCTGAAGCTCCTGGCAGGATTCTGCACTCAGTCTATGGCCAGCCTGTCACCTGCCTTGATGTGGCTGCTCACGAGGCTGCCTTTGGCATCAAAACCTTTGGCTGGCTGTTGAATGAGCCCAACCAGGTACTGCCATTATTTTCTGAGATTTTTACACCTTTGTAATTAAGGAGAAAAGAGTTCATGCTGGGGACTTCTTTCTCTGCTCTCCAGCTTTTGAGAGTAGAGAGAAAATTCAATGCAATAATCTGATGCTGCTTTGTGTTCTTCTATGGGCTGAAGTGAGGGATTATTGTTCATCTGTGGGAAATGAATTTGTAAAGTTTGACACAAG